ATTTATTACTTAATGGAAACACTGCAGTTGTGAAACTGTGTTTTTAGACATTAACAGAATATCGACAAAGTTTTGCGCACATTTGAAATGGAAACACAGCTACTGTCCCTGCTTATAGGGAAGAATGTTTCAGGACATTTCAATTACTTCCTGCCAGCAGACAGTTAAATGACATTTTGATTACAGTAGTTTTACTTTATTTTTGTATGTTTTAAACAGTGCTTGGCGGTTTAATTATTTTTTTAATTACCATTTACTGATTTTACCATGTGTGGAACAGGAAGATTAAATTATCCACACACAGCTACGAATGCCATCAGCACAGTTATCAAGATGAATTACAAAGCTGATTACAAGAAGTTAAATGTCTCCTTCTGGGACAGCTTAGGTGTGTGATCAGTCAGGATGAGTGTGTTAACGTACCTATAACAGCATTTGGTTCTGTTCCGAAGGCACACACACAGGGAGAGCCTGATGGGACCTGGAACTTGGAGAAGCTCCACTTCGAACTAAAGTATTTAGGAAGAAAGCTGGCTGATGCCAAACTATAAAGACAGAGACAGGTTTAATGTTTTCCCCCTTTCTGTAACACATTGCATGATTTGGTCAGAGAAGCGACAGACCTTGACTGCTTGTTTCTTTTGGGGTCCTCTGCAGCAAAGATGTGGACAGTGCCGTGGTCGCTGGACACGCAGATGAGTGATGCATCCTGATTGAAGTTGATGCTGGAAAAAAAWAGACAAACAAGCTTTCAAAGCTGTAGCTTAAGTAAACTCAGAAACAAGTAGGGTGTATTGGCAAGAATTTGGTGATATGATACAGATAACAATACATGGATATATGATATGATACATCTAGACATATTTTGATACTGTGAACAAGGCAATAAATTCATTACCTTTTTGGTCTCCAAAGGATTCAAATAAAAAAAAAAAAACTACTAAATAGCACACCATGCAATACATGCATAAAATTTGATTTAAATTGTGTTTATTTTTATGCAATGTGGAAAAACAAAACGACAGGTAGAACTGCATTTGTATCTCACATTTCTTCTTACAACATCCATCCATTGAGCCTTAATTTAAAAAATCGATAGAGCTTTTGAGAATCTACACAGTATCAGGAAATGATTCTGGTGGACACCAGTGGTGAAGGATGATGTCAGGCTGAAGGAGGAGTCTGACTGAGATGTTTTGTACTGGCAGTCCAGGCGGATTGTGACTCAGGTAGTGGCTGAGGCAAAAACCCGGACAGTGAAGGAGCTCGGTGAGGCCATGTATAGCTTTGAGGTGATTCTGGTCCACCACCTGGGGAGGTTGTCGTCACCACCGTCACAACTTGCTGCGTTGTGGGACAGTGGGTGGAATGCTTCGAAGACCTCCTCAATCCCACCAACATGCCTTCTGTTGAGGAAGCTGAGCCTGGGGACTTTGGGTTGGGTTCTCCAATCTCTGGTGCTGTGGAGCACCCGCCCCAGGGGTGGATGAGATTTCCTTAAGGCTCTGGATGTTGTGGGGTTGCGTTGGTTGACGCGACTCTATAATATTGTGTGGACATCGGGGGCAGTTCCCCTGAATTGGCAGACTGGGTTGGTGGTCCCCCTATTTAAAAAGGGGGATGGTAGAGTGTGTTCCAACTACACTTCTAAGCCTCCCTGATAAGGTCTATTCAGGGGATCTGGACAGGAAGGTCCATCAGATAGTCGAATCTCAGATTCAGGAAGAGCAGTGTGGTTTTCGTCCTGGTCGTGGAACACTGGACCAGCTCTACACCCTCAGCAGGGTCCTGGAGGGTTCATGGGAGTTCAACCAGTCTACAAGTGTTTTGTGGACTTGGAGAAGGCATTCGACCGTGTCCCTCGGGGACTCCTGTGGGGGGTACTCCAGGAC